TTTCCTCAGTTTATATAGCAATATCTTTATCTCTTTTCTGAACAATTAAGGCACCTGATTTGGCTCATTTTATACTTTTTACTTAGAAGCTATATTTCCTTATAGGCTTTAGTTTTGTCTTTATTTTTTTCTGTTCCAACAATTTAGACTTTACTGTTATCTTTTTCATAATATAAACATTTGGATTGATCAGTGGGTTGAAAATTTACACAGACTTTTCTCTTTAGAATAATTTTTCTTTTTTTCTGATCTTTGTTCTTTAGTAATTAACTTAGAATAGTAAAATCACTCAATCTTTGCTTTTCTAAAAATGTTTACATTTCACTTTTACCTTTGAAAGATAGGTTCACTATAGATTCAGTTGCCTATAGGTTGACAGTTTTTGTCTCAGAACTTTAAAAGTTATTATTCCATTGTCTTCTGGTTTCCATTAAAAGACAGCTTTTAGAGGAATTGAGTTCTTTTGGAAATAATCTGTTTCCATGAATCAGAAGTCTGGCTACAGTATGGTTTAACTAATTTCTCTGTTCCAGATCTCCTAAGATGGAAATCAAGATGTCAACAGACCTACAACCCTTACTGGAGGTTTCTGGGGGCGAGAATCTGCTTCCAAGCTCATTCAGGTTGTTGACTGAATTCAGTTCCTGGTGGTTGCAGGACTGTGCTCCCTGCTTCCTTGCTGGCTGTCAGCTAAGGACCGCCTACATCTCCGAACCAGCAAAGACATGTCAAATCATCCGTAGGCTGAGATCTCTCTGGCTTCCTCTTAGCTGCTTCTCTTTTGCTTTTCTTCTGCCACATCAAGACTAGGGCTCTGACCCTGTGCTTCTACCTCTTCCCCTCACTGCTCAGCTCACAGTGATTTCCCTCTAATCTGATCATCACTTACCCTTGCCTCACTCAGACATTCAAAGACATGCTTACTTAGAAAAATATACTACTCCCACTCCCAGAAAATCACCTTTCTCGCCACTGCAAGTTATAAAATCTTAAACTCTCGCAATAAGATTTTCACACAAATAACCTGACTCCTATTTTGAATCTTTTTTAGGTTATCATGCTTCTACCAAAGGGAATGAGTTTAAGGAGAAAGTAAAAAGACCAACTCTTACATCATGTAAGCAAAAAGATAAAATACATAAATATGTTTAAATATGTGTACATTTTAATTTCTCCCCCAAGTTACTTTTTAAAAACTGGATGTCTTTTAAAATAGATTTAAAATTTAATTTTTTTTGTGGGTAATTCTTATATATTCTGAGAGTACTTCCAGTTGAACTAAGTTGCTTGGATTAATTTAATATGAGGAAAACATATCCATGATAGTTTTAAAAGATAAACCTAAAAAGAAAGTTTAAAGTCAAATGTGTATCTTCTTTTAAGTTTGAATGTAAGTCCGACAATGCCCTTTTGCATTGTTTGACTCTGCATCAAGTAATAACTCAAACTTTTAAAATATTGAATGCCCGCCCTGGCCAGTTTGCCTCAGCGGTTAGAGCGTCAACCTGCGGTCCAGAGAGACCAGGGTTCGGTTCCCGCTAAGGGCATGTACCTCGGTTGTGGTTTGTCCCTGGCCCTGGTTGGGTTGTGTGGGTGGCAGCCACTTGATGTGTCTTTTTCACATCAATGTTTCTCTCTCTCTCTCTTTCTCCCACTCTATCTGAACAAAATATGGGAAAATGTCCTCGGGTCAGGATAAAAAAATATATATATATTGAATGCCCATAAATAGAGATCTTTAACTTTTGTTTTTAAGTGGCAAGTGACATTTTATATTAACCTGATGTGGAATATCTAAAATACTCTCATCTTCAAAACCCTTGGAATTATTTTATTTTATTATTGAATAAATATTTATTAAGAACGTATTGTGTTGTTTATTAGTAACATGTTATTATTAAGAGAACTGTATCAGCCACGTAGATACAGATAGGAGCAAGGTTAATAAAGTTTCTGTCCTCATGGATCTAAACTCCTCATGGAAGACACACACACACACACACACACACACACTCACACACACACAAAAGCAAAAACATACAGCGTAAAGCCAGGGAGTGGTAAGTGCTCTGGAGAAAATGCTGATGCAGGGCCAGGAGAGAGTGGTTGACTGGGCACACTCCGACAAGGTGGTTATTGAATGGCTGGTGAGGAGCCAGAGACCTGAGTGAAGGGAGGGAGGAAGTCCTGTGACTGTGACAGAGGGACAAATCGCCAAATGTATTTTATTACTCCTGGAGAATCCAGATCTAAAGACCCAACTTGTGAAATAACGAAGAGTAGAAAAGCAGACCTTACATTTTCATGAAGATAAAAATTGCCTTCCTGTTTTGGCATTACAAGTCATGGGACTCAAAAATCGCATAGTTGTAAACAGTCATTGACTTGGATCTCTGCCCAAAATAGGACAAACCCTTACCAAGCAAATTACATACACAGATAAGAACTCATGCTATCAAGAAGCTGTCCACAGGAAAGAATACTATTCCTAGGTGATACATTGAGAGAAAACAATTTTCTTCAGAGTTCTGACTGGGTTCTGCCCATCGGCAACAGTGAGAATTTACTGGGAGAACATCTAGATGGTCAAATATGAAACAATACAAGGAAGTCTCAGCCTGCACCTGGTCCTGAGGCGGGAGGAGCTCCGACTCTGCACAGAAGGGCAGTTCTGACGAAGCCAGACTCTCCTTCTACTCGCTGGGGTGGTTGTTTTAGGGCAAATGTGCTCTATAGAATTCTTCATAAAAATGCTCCATTTTTGAAATTAGTATTTATTGGATTGGTAGTCTAATAATAAACCAAATGTGAATTTAAACATGCATATAATAATTGAAGAATCCTACTGTTTTTGGAAGAATTTAGAAGTATTTCAATATAATTCTATCCAGATTAAATGTGTTTAGACATAAGGTAATAATAGTCTTTTAATTTTTTATTAATCAATTAATTTATTTATTTTTATCCTCACCAGAGGACATTTTTCCATTTTTTGTTCAGGTAGAGTGGGAGGGAGAGAGAGGAATAGAGAGAGAGAGAGAAACATCGATGTGAAAGGGACACATCGAGTGGCTGCCACCCGCACAACCGACCAGGGCCGGGGACAAACTGCAATCGAGGTACATGCCCTTAGCGGGAACCGAACCCGGGTCTCTCAGGACCGCAGGACGACGCTGTCACCGCTGAGCCAAACTGGCCAGGGCTTAATTTTTTATTTTTATAAATTGTGTCCAGAAATATTGAAAAGTAAAGGTAACTATTAAAATGAGAGCCCTTATTTTGTTTTCCTTAAGCAATAGTATAAATATTTTATTTATTTCATTATATGGAGATAAACCTCAGCAAGAATATCGTAGAGATGAGTCTTCAAATTTTCTCAATGACGTATCTCCATTTTTGTTGTTGTTGTTAATCCTCACCTGAGGATATTTTTACGTTGACTTTTGGTGAAAATGGAAGGGAGGGAGGAAGTGAGAGAGAGAACAACACTGACATGAGAGAGACACATTGATTTGTTGCCTCTGGCACGACCCTGACCAGGGCCAGGGATTGAACCTGCAACCCAGGTGTGTGCCTTTGACTGGGAATTGAACCCGAGGCCCTTCAGTCCTCAGGCTAACTCCCTAATCACTGCGCCAAACCAGCCAGGCACATCTCCACATTTTCTATAACACTATTATTCTCCTTTTGGTGGTCTCTATTTTAATTTGCAGTACATTTACAGTTAACGTCAATCTATCATATTAGGAAAATGAGCAGAAACAAACAAGTTTTTAGAGAATCAGGAATGCAAGCATTAATATGGGATACACTTCACGTTACTATCTTCAGCCATTCTCGCAGATACTCAGGAATATAGTACTTCACAAAGATGATTACTGCTCACACTGACTCATATCTAACGACAGGGCAAATGCCAAGGTTTGCAAGAGCTGGTGCTGATCTAAGACTGAGGGAACCACCTTGCAGAATGCAGCTCAGTGGGTTACTAAGGACGGGTTGGCCCCTGACTCCTACGAACAGCGACTTCCCAGTGCCCAGGTCTAGTCTGAGCTAGGAAAGCTCACAGACAAAGACTGCAAGGAACCCTCATCTCCTGCAGGGTCGTGTAAATCTTTCCTAAGCCACACTTCCCACACGCTATCGTCACGCCCAGAATATCCCAGTGGGAACTGTAATAATTCCTCTCCTTTAATGCTGTCCTTTTTGCCTTATTACCTGCTGTCTATTTAGTAAGATTATTTCCTACTTTCATACACAACACCAAAGGCAGCCCTTCTCAGGCCTCTCATGTGACTGTGGCCATCGCTGCAGCATTTAAAATTCTGTTGTAACCAGATGTTCGTATGTATGTTTCTCCTTGTTCTTGTTCTTGTTGTTTTTTGACAGTTAAAAAATCACTTTGTCAAATAAAAGAGCATCTCTTTTATTTTTTTAAATAGGTTACTTCACTGTAGAAACTATTTTTTCATATTTAAATACCAATTTTAATGAATAAACATGATTACATTTTAGATAAATATTTATGAAATAAATTAATGCAATTTGCAAAAGTAATATACCACATAGAACGAGATATGTTAAGAATTCTGAAAAGTAACAGATTTATAACAAAGAGGTGTTAAAAAAGTAATTGCACTTGGACAGGATATGGATTGCTGAAGTTGCTCCCCTCTGTACTTACTATTTAGTGATCATTTTTAAACATTGGAAAGCAGTCTGTTTTTCTGTCCTGTATAAATTTAACCCAGTGCTGTAGCTGAGAGTTTGAAATCTTTCTCTGTCAGTAGGAGATGGGAAAGGACAAGAAAAAAAGTCCCTTATCCTAAAAGCAGTTTGGAGGTGGCCAAGAGGATGGTTTTTAGTGGTTAGATGAGGAAATGACGAGAAGGAAATTGTTTTGTGTCTCGGGAACCATGTGGAATTCCAAGATAAGAAAAACAGTTGCTAATTTGAGTATAAAAGCAGGAAACATGATACACTTGTTTCCTTTTATGCAAACACAAGTATATGAGGGGTTGTGTGAAAATTATTTTTCTCTTGCTGAACCACAAAGACATAGAATCAAAGTGCTTCTTTTGGACATACTGGCTTCTCTTTCTTTTTTTTCTTCTCTCTCTTCTATTTGTTGTGGATATTATGGCTAATAACACAACAAGTTTAGGGAGTCCATGGCCAGAAAATTTTTGGGGTAAGATATTTTCTTTACCTGTTTTTGATTTAAAATTAGGATTCAGAGAAATGTGCTATGTTATTTATTAAAACATTGGATATCTCTGAGGAATTTTGTTTACCTATAAACTGATTATTTTTAGCTATTGATTATAATAGATATATTAATATAAATTTCTTTAAAGTGGGCTATGAAGACACTCAAGAAGAATCTGGGCAACAGGTATAGATTTGGCTGGTGTTACAAAATAAAATTAGAAAATAAGAATAAACATGAGAGGCAAGGCAGCAGTAACTGCTCTTTGAAATATGATAATGTGGATTTTGTTGGAAAATGAAGTTTTGTTTGTTTTAAGCTTATGGATTAAGTATTGTACTTAATGAAAACAAGAATGTCTGTAGGGGTTATTTTAATGTGCATTGTCAATGTTATACTTTTTCATTCCCAAAGTGAATCTAACTAATAAATCAGTGCTTAAGGAGCGTGATAACACATAAAATAAGGAATCATATTATGAAATTAGAGGGAAAAACTAAGATAGAAAAAGTTAAGTGGGAATAACATCACATACAACATTACAAAGAGAGCTTGTCGCAGGGAAAAGGGCACCCACAAAAAGACTTGTGTTCAGACTCAGCGTCTAGTCAAATGTTGTCGGTGGGATGGAGGTCAAAATGACCAGCTGACCAAGCCTAGAGGGACAGGGAAGGAGTAAGATGCGAACTTGACATGTACTTTGGGTTCAGGGAAATTTTAAAAATAAAAAGAGCAATTTGAGTCACATCCAGGAAGAAAAAAACTTAAAGGAGAAAATGGAGTTTACAAAGAGCTCGATGCCCTTATGTATTAATCCAGGAAGAGTATTTAATGCTCTCAGAGAACCATTTCAAATGTTGGGGTGTGATCCAAGGGGATATTTTGGGAACAATGAGAGGAGAAGTGAGCAGCGGTGGCTGACTGTCCCGACAACCTCTCCTAGTTGTCGCCCACCACAGAAATGTGCATGGAGGGAATTAATTCTTTTTTTTACCATTTATGTTTGTTTCAAGTTTGTAAAGGAGAGATAATAGGGAACATCCTAATATAATTATATAGCAAAATTAAGAAAGAAAATAAATTATATTTGCATATCTAAAAAGTGGCTTGGTAAGCTTGTTCAGGTAGATGCCAACAGACAAGGAGCCTTTGACTTGCAGACATCTAATCACACATGCTCGTGACAATGCTCCCCGGTGTCCTCTTTACAGAGAAGGTGAATGCAAAACACCAGCTGAAAAATAGCTCAAGTGTGTTTACGTAAATTCATCTCTACAAAAGCAAGTCATTGTATAAGTGAATTCAAAAGTAAAGTAACTCTTACTGTAAAAATTAATTGTTGAAGCTAAATCTCGTCTTTTTTCTGACAAGTGAAAGTTACATTTCAGGTTCACTTAAGGCTAAGAAATCATTATCCACTGACTAAGACATAGATGATAATTATGAAATAAACTCCAATCTGCAAGAGCAAATGTTCAATTGGAGTCTGTTTGCCAATCCTAAAAATGATAGTTGTTTTTTTTTTTAATATAAAATCTGTGCCTGAGAAAGAATTCAAACTTAGTGTTCCAAAGATAGGTCCTAGTGTTTCTTTGTCTTAGTACGTGAATACAATGGAAAATAGATAAAAATAATGAAAACCAGGAAGGGGAGTATTAGGGTTAGGGCAAATATGTTGAGCAGATATAATGTTGGGAGGAAAATATATGAAAGATCACATTACTTTTTCTAAAGTAAGAAATATTAAGTGTAAAAGGCAAAAATGTAAATGTGAGTATGTAACATATAAAAATTTCTTTAAACATAAACGTCCATCTTTTTATTTGTCTCTCTTATGTGTATCTAAATTGATGTCCATTTTGATCACTGACTCCACAGACATATTATTTTGAAAATCTTGTGAAATGCAGTGCAAGGCGTTGTCTGGGGCTCCCAAAGCCAACTGGCTGCTCCGCACTTTGAATGTAGAGAAGTTAAAGAAGGACCCGCTTAGAAAAACAAAACTTGTGCATTAAGCATATCAATTTCCCAGACTTGACACACTTAAGCTGCATACAAAGTTGTTTCACAAATATAATTTTCCTAGCTTACTTTACTGAATGCTAAAAAATTAAGGTAATGTTAGCAGGTTTTTACCAATCACGACAGCTTGCATTTTCACAGTAACCACCCCTGAAAACTTACTAAATGTTGTGCAAGCGTGGGCAACAAAGTCAGCCCGAGAGTGACAACACAGCTGAAGACCCGGCCCTGTAGCCCTCACTTCTGCTAGAAACACTGCCCATGAGAGCAGCGAGGACACCGAGGACACTCACTGCGCCGTCACGTGAAGGAGAGAAGCGGCCTTACACTTGGTTATCCTCTTGGACTTGGAGTCCTGAAGAAGACATGCTTGTGGTTAAACCTTCTGTCTTACCACGTGGCTTTTCTCTTTTGGCTAACAGTGAGTGTGTGTTTGGCTAAGATTGTGTGTATATGTTTGGCTAGCATTGTATGTTATTTGGCTAGCATTGTGTGTGCATTTGGCTGAGAGTGCGTGTGTGTTTGGTTAGCGTTGTGTGTGCATTTGGCTGACAGTGTGTGTGCATGTTTGGCTAGCATGGTGTGTGCATTTGGCTGAGAGTGTGTGTGTGTTTGGTTAGCGTTGTGTGTGCATTTGGCTGACAGTGTGTGTGTGTGTTTGGCTAGCATGGTGTGTGCATTTGGCTGACAGTGTGTGTGTGTTTGGCTAGCATGGTGTGTGCATTTGGCTGACAGTGTGTGTGTGTTTGGCTAGTAGTATTGGCTCAGGAGCTTGCATTTATTTACCTCAATTAATCCTCTCCCAAACTGCAATGTCTGTCGTCAAGAAAATTACACTCTTGGAAGAGATTATGTGTCCTCATATATGCCAATAACTGCCTTCATTGTTACGGGATAATATAACATAATATATGGTAAAGTGGCAGTGATTGATAGTATATTATTAGTTTTAAAAAAATAACGGCAGAAAGGGTCCCTACATCCCTAGAAGACAAAACTTTATCTATTCCTAGAAGATCAGATAAGATTCAAATATGGAGATAATTCTAGGAAGAACTTTTCAGTCATTCATTTTTCCTTCATTCACTCATAAACTCATTCATTCATGTATTTACCTATCCAGTTCATTAGTTCACTCAGAAGCATTGTCTGGCCACCAGTGATACAATAGGCAATGTTTCAGGTGTTAGGATAGAAGCCAGGCGTAGCTGGAGAATTTCAGGGAGTTCTGGAGAAATTTATCAGCCATGTTTGCAGAGAAGTGAAGGGCTTGAGGCAGATTGGCGTAAAGTTTTAATGTCAGCATAAAAGTTTAAGCTAGTTTAACATAATAATCCTCAATTTCATGAATTCAGGTTTTTCCGACCTTAGAGAAAAAGTCTCAGGGAAGAGGAAAGAGGACGGAGTGAAGGTGGGGGTCACAGTTATTTCCTATAGTTTCCATGCTGATACTTTCTACTTGTTCTTTCATCATGAACATTTTCCTTCACATCATTAGACACAGATATTAGTTGCTTTGAAATCTTTGGATATTCCAACATCTGGGCCGTCTTAGTGTCTTTGCTGATTTTCTTTTCTCTTGAGAATGGATCACATTTTTCTGTTTCTTCATAGGTCAGGTGATTTTACATTGTATTCTGCACATTTCAAATGGGTTTTTGGATTCTTTTATATTACCTAGAAGAGTTTGTTTCTACAAGCAAATGCATTTGTAGAACTTAAACTATAAAAACCTATAACCCCCCAATTGTACTCTTTGGAATTTGCAGGGTAGTTCAGGAACCAGCCATAGATATGGGAACGCTTATAAATAAAATGTAGGGGACCTCTCGTCCTCGGTTTCTTCAGACTGGAAACACTACAGGTGTTCAGGTGGAGTTTTACCTGCCCCTCATAACTCAGACTGCAAACTGTGCTCAGATCAGAGGTTTTTTGGGGGAAAAAATCACTTAGTGTTTGCTCTTCTTTTCTTCCAAGTGTCAAATTCTCTCTAGTAGCTGCCTACCTTTGGTCATTCTCCAATGCCTTCAGGTAGGAATTGTTTGAGGGGAGCGGAGGGACATGTGTTCTAACCAGTATTTATTTATTTATTTATTTATTCATTATTATTTTTTATTAATTAATTTTTGTTACAGATGTTTTTCCTTTTTCCCCCACTGATTCCCCCTCCCCCTCCCTCCCTGCCCTGTCCCCAGTTTGTTGTCCATGTCCACTGTTCATGCATACATGCATATAAGTTCTGTGGTTTATCTCTCCCCCACCACCCCCTCTTCTGGGGATTGTCAGTCTGTACCCCACTTTCACGTCTCTGGGACTACCCTATTCCTCAGACTGTTATGTTCATTATATTCCACAAATAAGTGAGATCATGTGATACTTGTCTTTCTCTGTTTGGCTTGTTTCACTTAGGATGATACTTTCCAGGTCCCTCCATGTAGTCTCAAAGGATAAGAGATCTTTCTTTCTTACAGCTGCGTAGTACTCCATTGTGTATATGTACCACCGCTTTTTTATCCATTTGTCTACTGATGGACACTTGGGCTGTTTCCAGATCTTAGCTATTGTAAATAGTGCTGCTACAAACATGGGGGTACATATATTCTTCCTGATTGGTGTTTCAGGCTTCTTAGGGTATATTCCTAGAAATGGGATCACTGGGTCAAATGGAAGTTCAATTATTAATTTTTTTGAGGTGACACCATAGTGTTTTCCATAGTGGCTGCACCAGTCTGCATTCCCACCAGCAGTGCACTAGAGTCCCCTTTTCTCCACACCCTCGCCAACACTTGTTGTTTGATGATTTGTTGATGGCGGCCATTCTGACAGGTGTGAAGTGATACCTCATTGTTGTTTTAATTTGCATCTCTCTGATAATTAGTGATGATGAGCATTTCTTCATATGTCTCTTAGCCATTTATATGGCCTGTTTGGAGAGGTATCTATTTAGTTCCTCTGCCCAT